TGAGCACACAATAGATACAAACTTAACAGAACTGCTCCAAACTCGATTACAGAAAATATGACTTCAGCAATGGAGTGGTCAATGCCTGGAATGCACTACCTGACTCTTGTGGTTTCATCCCAAAACCCCCAAAATGTTAACCTAAGACTGTCTACTGTTGATGTCACCCCATTCCTAAGAGGTCTGTAAGGGGCATGCATAAGAGCACCAGCGTGCCTACTGTCCCTGTCCTAATGTTTCCTCTATTTGTATTTATTTTATGTATTCAATTCATGCTTATACTTATATATATTACCTAATAAGTTCTTGACAAATAAATAAAATAAATAAAAAATAAAAGGTTACTATGTCATGTATATTTGAAGCTTTATGAAATCTACCTCCCGGGTGAGTTCACCTGGCATCTTCCTTATTAACTTTTAAACTCAGATACAGACTTCTTTTTTAATATCAGATTTTTTAAATGAATGATTATGGTGTGTTTGTATGTCGATAATATATCTGCAGTTTCCTCTCCTTTTTTAAAAACTTGCACTCAATCACCTGCATTTCTGATGCTCATTTCATTCTTTTGAATTTCAGTCCAGCAGACTATGCTCCACTAATAATAGAAGATGCATGGAATTATATTGTTAATTTGCTGTGAATCGTTTGTTTCTCGTTCTATTTTTAAGCATTTTGATTTTAAACCATGTTTATTATTAGCTACCCTAAGATTTAATATTTAAAAGCTGAGAGTCTGGTCTCTACATAAATAATACAAAATGCAAACATACCTGCAGTTATCTGACAGCACTTGTATTGAGTATACCTCAATAAAATTGTGCTGCCATTGTCTTGAATGTTGTGCTTCAGCCTTTTGTGCTGAACATCAGGCCATCCCAAAGCTTCATCTGTAAAATCATTTTTAAAATATGTTTATGCAGGTGTTTTCAGCCTATGGGTCACTGATTGTGTGCAGTCCTAAGCAACCGCTATGAAGCTCACCTTGGCCACACAGCCCTTCCTCACGGTTGTCCACATTTCTAGCTGCCTGCTCATTGGTGGGCCACCAGAGAGTGCTGTTGTATTAAGAAGGAAGCTTACCATATATTTGTTTTCCAAGCACAGTTTTGAGAAAGAGGATTTATATATTATATATATGTGCACACCTGCATAGAAATTTGACTGATCCTTTCATTCAGAAGCAGTTTAGCAATGAATGGTGGTCCTATTGCTGTAGGGAATGTTATGGAGATTCACTTAAGATAGTGATGTAAGGTAAAGGTAAAGGTTCCCCTCGCACATATGTGCTAGTCGTTCCCGACTCTAGGGGGCGGTGCTCATCTCCGTTTCAAAGCTGAAGAGCCAGCGCTGTTCGAAGATGTCTCCGTGGTCATGTGGCTGGCATGGATTGGCCAAAGGCACACGGAACGCTGTTACCTTGCCATTCTGTTTTTCTACTTGCATTTTTTACGTGCTTTTGAACTGCTAGGTTGGCAGAAGCTGGAAAAAGTAACGGGAGCTTTCCCCGTTACACGGCACTAGGGATTCGAACTGCTGAACTGCTGACCTTTCGATTGACAAGCTCAGCGTCTTAGCCACTGAGCTATCGCGTCCCTCAGTGATGTAAAGGTTTATGCTTTAGAGTTATTTCAGGGTTATATTGTTTTCTTGTGACCATGGGAGAAAACATGCTTTTAATCAGATGCAACTTGTTTGGAGCATTCACAGGGGTGAGAAAGATTTGGGGTAGGGGCAGAGTTGTGGCAATTATTGCACCAATAGTATTGTGTGGGTGCCTTATTTTTTCCTCCCCTCAAACTGCTTATCCAGCTATTCTGAATGTGAGGGAGATTTTTAAAATCCTGCTGATGCTGAATGTGCTTGGAATATTAATAGGAGGAGGGAGGGCTCACTTTATGTTAGTGGGCAACTTCTAAGCGTTCATATTTTTAGATTTTCTGATCAGCTATTTATATTTCTCAATCTACCCAGTTAATTCTTTTCTGTCCATTTAACCTAAGAATTATAGTGCTGCTATTTTAAGAATCTTTTATGAAGAAGTTTCATTTAGCATTTCCAGGAATTATTCTTTTTCAGCGCAGAGCTGCTGTGGGGGACAATAAATGCAAAAGGCAGCATATGATTATGGTAGATGTGAGGTTGATGAGGACATTGATTGGCTCGGATAGCTTGCTGAGCAATATTTTGCTTAACCATTATTTATTAAATAAATAAATCACATCTGGCTGGGCTCACATCACATGCTGTGCTACAAAATATGTATAAAATGTACATTGCACTGAATCAGAACCAGACAAGGCTTATGATGGCTTAGCACAATCATTGAATGTCTATCTGAAAATGAAACGGATGATAATTTTACAAATATGCACATATATTTATTGTAAAAAGCTTACTCATCCATCCACCCATCAATTTAATTGCTGCTGAAATCACTGTAGCCCTTGAGTGGTTTATGTATCCGATATCCATTTCTAACATTAAAAACTCATCTGACAAAATAAATAAATAAAACTAATTAAATATAAAATAATAATTTAATTAAAAAGAAAACAAAAAACAATAAACTCAAAGGGCAGATTCAATAGACCTCTAGGTCTTTTTCTGCCATCAGTTTTCTATGCTTGTAAAATTCCTGCTAATATACAAAGATTATGTAACGTTCCAATGTTTCTACTCTCACTAATGCAATTTCTAAAACTAACACCGAATCATCTACAAATACCCTTAACTATTAACTTAACAAATAACATTAACCCCCATAAGTCTCTGATCTTATGTCTCTATTCAGTACCTGAAAAACCAAAATGAACAAAAGTGGAGGCAGTGGACATCCTTGTCATCCATTTTGAATTACCCAAAGTTTTGTTAGTTCTCCATTAACAATTATTTGTTCTTTCTGAAAAGTACAGCTAGATCTCACCCATTTAATAAAATTATCTCCAAGGTTCATACAATATGTTTCAGAATTTTAAACAAAATAATCCAATTAAAATAGTTAAAGGCCTTCTTTGCATCAATGTTTTTTAAATAAAAACCCATATTGGTCTTCATTAACAAACTCATGTAAAATTACTTTCAACCTTTCAACTAAAATTACGGCAAGCTGTTTGTAATCCTTCTTCAGTAAAGATATTAGTTGATTGTTCTTTGTTCAAGTCAAATCTTGTCCCTCTTAAGGCATTAATGTTATATTTTCTGCAATCAATCTGGTGAAATGCCCTTATCTGTAAGTTGTTCTAATAAACTCCTGCATCCTTCTCCCAGTTTGGCAACTTTCTTTATAGTTGCCATGGTGAAAAAATGAAAGTGTGTCAATTACTGTGCTGAAAGTAAAAGGCAGGCATTTCCTTTTTTCTGTTTTGCTTCTATCCTTAACACTTTAGTCCCAATTATCTCTCTATGGTTACAGTCCCACAACATAGCTCATATTATTCTTTTCTTCTTGTTTTGTAAAATCTTCCAACTACTACTGTCCTTAAAAATAAACAATATTCCCAGGAAGGTGTGATCTAATTAATTTTACTATTTTCAAAGGTACTTTTGTCAGAAAAAAAACCCTTCTATTTTTAAAAATCTCTGTCCCCTTTGTCTGCTTGAAACTTTCCTAGATCACAATCTTCTTAAACTTTTGACTTTTAAAATGAAATGCCTTAAAATAGCATCTACCCAACCCCCTATCTTAATTTGAAAAGTAAGCCATTCACCAAAATCTTCACTGCCATTTAGATTATCTCTCTTATGTCTATAAGGCTGAACAGCACTTAAGGGCACATTGTAATCGCTTGGCTGTTGGCTCCCAAGATGCTCAACTGGCAATTGGTCACAAGTAACTCAGTTCCTGTGCTCCTCTCATGGGGAACAGTTCTTCCAGAGCAGGGGTGAAATGCTCCCGGTTCGGACTGGATCACCCGATCCAGTAGTGATGGAGGTGGGTGGTTCGGAGAACCAGTAGCAAAAATCCCTGCCCCCCCCCCATGCCCAGCTGAGCCGCACAATCATCAGAGGCTTTTTCTTTTAATTTTTAAAAGCATTTTTTCTACAACCTCTTCGGCTGAAAAAATGCTTTTAAAAGTAAAAAAAAAGCCTCTGATGATCACGCAGCTCAGCTGGGATCATCAAAGGGATCGTCCGCTGATGATCCCAGCTGAGTTGCTTGATCGGCAGAGGTTTTTTTTCTTTTAAATGCCTCTGATGATCCAAGCTGAGTTGCCTGATCAGCAGAGGTTTTGTTTCTTTTAAAAGCCTCTGACGATCCAAGCTGAGTTGCCTGATCGGCAGAGGTTTTTTTTCTTTTAAAAGCCTCTGACGATCCAAGCTGAGTTGCCTAATCAGCAGAGGCTTTTTTTCTTTTAAATGCCTCTGATGATCCAAGCTGAGTTGCCTGATTGGCAGAGGCTTTTAAAAGAAAAAAGTGGGCGATCACCTGATTTCTCCTTCCTACAGAGAATTTCCTCTCAAAACTGTCTCCTGGTGTGCTGTGCTGTTTCTGCTTGTGGAGGCCCTGGTGGAGAAAACTAACCAGCCATCTCACCACACCCAGAAGCCCCTCTTACTTTTTCTTTTAGCCTTGATGTAAATGTCTTTCTCTTTGCAGAAAATCTACATCCTACTGCCTGTATTTATCCGAAATGTGGTAGATGTCATTTCCTCAGAGAGACTTTAATGATCCAACACTGCAATTTTAAAACAGAAGCAATTTTAAAAGAGAAGATGATATGGCCATTTGTTTATTTCCCATTGGGGAAACATATAAAGCCATGAAGCAATGTGATAAAGCAAGGTTTTTGCTTCAGAGCTGAATAAAAATGTGGCCTCATTCTGAAGAGCTAACCAAAGCCACTTGCTGTCTGAAACCCCAAATAGGTTTTTAAACCTTTGCCTCATGCATGCTGTTCGGTCTGCCTACAAGTGTTTAGGGCCAGATGATTTTTTTCTTGTGATCTATAGCAGAAAAAGAAATGTCTCTAATTAAACATTCTTTTCCCTTTCAGGTGCTTATCTAGTCCCCTATCTCATCCTGCTCATCCTTATTGGAGTCCCTCTCTTTTTCCTGGAACTGGCCGTAGGGCAGAGAATCCGCCGGGGCAGCATAGGAGTGTGGAATTACGTTTGCCCTCGATTAGGTGGCATTGGATTTTCCAGCCTCTTAGTGAGTGATTGGATGAGTTTATATGTCTTATACAGGCTATAAATGGGTGGATAATATTATGTAGGAAAAAAAATCCGGATGCAGTAGTAAATTTGTGCATGATTTACAGAAGGTGGACCAAAATTCATAACTCCCAGTTATCTAACGGAAACAGCTAAAAAGGAAAGGAAAAAACCTGGGATGATTAGCTCAATAAATTCTTCTAAAATTTAGGAAGTTTGTTTGTTTTTTTGCAACTCCATTCTATACTGGTTCATAAAATAAAGCTTTTGTATACAGCTTTATACAGATCTGCCTGTTGATTCATGCCAAAGTTCTAACAGAGAAAAAAAGAAGATATTGACTGGCCATCAATAATCTTAAATAAAGTCATTACCTATAGCTAAGGGTGACTAATTATGAAATAATAGAATAAAAATATGTTGATATGTGGAGTCAATGAGGGATCTGAAATTAATGTTTAGGACAGCTTTAAAAAAAACAACCAAAAATCTGCACAATGTCATAAAGGGAATGTCATCAAAGTTAAATGCGTTATATGTTCTACTTGTGTGTATCAACATTCATTGCCTTCTCCTAAAACTCCATTTTTTTTCTGATTAAGAATTTAGGAAATAATCAGGCTGTTAGCATAAGAAAAAAAAAGAGCCATTTAGGTTGGAGACATTTTATAAAATGTGCTGACTTCTAACTTCTAAACAACTGTGCGACAGTACATTACCACTGCAAAAAAATTAATTCAGTATTGGAGAAATATTACAAGTCATCCTTTTCAGTATTTATTTCTAAGTGAAATGCCTAAAATGTCAAGCAGTCTAATGGAGGCAAAAGAAACATGATCTTGCTGGAAGATCTAAAAAGGAATAAATAATGCTGAAAACTAGGGGAGTTATGATGAAGTGAAGAATATTGAGTTTATTTTGCATATTCTCCTACTGGATTTTACAATATTATATAAATTGTAGTTAATGCTGGAATTTAACTCATTAGGAGAATGGCACTGGTGGAGAGCAACCATTTTTCAATGGAAAAGATGGCAACTTGTGAAGTTGTACATGAGTTTCTTAATTTAACACCATCAATTTCCAGCAAAAATCTCTTCCATAAAAGTTCCACTGACCAGTTATTTGAGAATTATCAGAAGAATGTAACCATTTTATCAGCATTTTATCTCCATACTACACTTTCTTGCTATTATTATTAAATTCAACTTAATTGAAAAAACATGAAGTCAAAATTCAATACAAAACAGAATGATTCATCTTTTCAAATTATTTTTTTTTTCTGTTTTATTCAACATCAGATTTCTCTTTTGATCTAATGGCAATAGGTCAAGGTCATCAAATTTTAATTAAGATAAATTTCTGTTTCAGCTTGGTTTTTAAAAATTTTTTTGCCTGATAAACATTTTACATTTAGCTCAAGAGCTCTTATATAGTTTGACAGTTGCCATCTTTTCAATCAATGTTCCATAGGAGGATCATAAGGCAGAACATCCCCTGCTGGATTACTCCTTTTTGAAAATCAGTGAGCAGCTGGCAAATGGGAAAATAACACAATCTTTCAATCAGATTGTTCTATGACCATATTAAACTCAACAAATGCTGGTTAAAGATCCATACAGTGGGTTAAACTTCTATAAACAAAGGGATTCTATGACATGTATATTATTGTAGTACTCATATAACTTATCTGCACTGAGCTTATTCCATATTTGCTTCTGATTCAAAATTATCCACATATTCAAAGGAGAAAATACATCAACACCCAGATAAGCTTCTGCGTCACGTTTAATGTATACTCACATTTCTTGCTCATGCACACTGCTCTATTCATTTCAATGGGTGAAACAGATCTATGCCATCAACTGAGTGAAAACATGATTTACAGTCCCTGAATTAGACTGGCTCTTCAGGAGCATTCTGTTGGCATATAAATGCTCCCAGATCCATGGCAATTTAGAGATTAAATATGTTCACAAAACTATTCATAATGAAAGTCCAGGTATGCGATACGCTAAATAAATAAGTAAATAAATGGCAATGTGCCATTTTCTGGGGTTCACTTTAGAAGTTCCTCTTCCTTTGTTTGAATGAAATATTATTATGTAATAGCTAGACATAATTTCAATTTCCTTTTGCCAGGTCTCCTTGTTTGTTGGACTCTATTATAATGTGATCATTGGATGGAGCATCTTCTACTTTTTCAAATCCTTCCAGTATCCTTTACCTTGGAGTGAATGTCCTGTTTTAAAAAATGGCTCAGTGGCAAGTGAGTAGCCAGTTTTTGCAACTCTCTGTATAGGGGAAAGAAGATGAGGCAAATTTCCATTCTAATTGTCTACTTTTTATTAGAATAATAAAAGCCATAAAGATAATTGTTGAAATAGTACTTAATGCTGCTTCCTGCTAATCCCATTTAGAACAGTGGGATATGCTCACCTTTTTTCTTCCTTCTGTGAGCAGCACAAAGTATTCATTTGCCTGTATCTGAAAGTAATCATGTTGCTCTCTTTTTCTGTGATGTTAAGAGTGTAGCGCAGCCCAGGCTTCCATTCCAAGAAAAAGACAATAGCTTAGGTCTGTTTCATCCTGCTAGAATAAAAGATTGTATTAGCTGGTAAGAAATAGTTTTGCCCAAAGGATGCAACCGAGATACTTTGGAAGTTAATGGAGCATTTAATAGACTTTGAACATCTCCCAGCACATAGATGAATCTTTTATAGTGAATATAAATCACCCCATTTATTTAATCTTTAATTTTGGATAGCAACATTCTCCCCACGTCCATTTCTGAGAAAGACCTCCAGGCATATTTCCTGATGTGTCCTTACGGACTGGTTCTAAATAAATTCTACCTCACTTAGCTACACCTGAGGCATGCCACTATCAAATGCCAACTCAAAGATCTGTAGGAAATCTATTCAACCCAAGTTCTTATCCTCTGCAGTCATAGAACCGGAATGTGACAAAAGCTCTGCAACTACTTTCTTCTGGTATCGTGATGCCCTGGACATTTCCAACTCCATTTCAGAGAGTGGTGGACTTAACTGGAGAATGACCTTATGCCTGCTGATAGCTTGGAGCATTGTAGGCTTGGCTATGATCAAAGGAATCCAATCCTCAGGAAAGGTAAATATCACGGGTGATGGGTTGAAACAGAGAATAACAGGACTTTTAGAATTGATTGATAGCCCTTCTTTTAAAATCAGTAGTCATCCAAAGTGTTCAAGTGAATGCTGAAAACATGAAGATTTTGTCTCAACACTTGCCAAGTAAGCCTGTTCCATGTTCCATGGTCCTGTGCTTTTTGGTAGTTATTTAAAAGACAAGCATGTGAACAGGCCCATGGCAACCATGAGGATTATATTCACCAGAGGTGGTATTCAGCTGGTTCGGACCGGTTCTGGAGAACTGGTAGTGGAAATTTTGAGTAGTTCAGAGAACCAGCAAATACCACCTCTGACTGGCCCCGCCCTCATCTATTCGCTGCCTCCTAAGTCCCAGCTGATCGAGTCCCAGCTGATCGGCTGGGTCTTCTTTTGTTGCCCTGCACAGGGAGCTGGAAAGCAGGTTAGTGGGGTGGGGAGGGAATGGAGACTTTACAGTATCCTTCTCCTAGAGTGGGGTGGAAATGGAGATTTTACAATAAGCGTCCCCTGGAGTGGGGTGGAAATGGAGATTTTACAGTATCCTTTCCCATGGAGTGGGGTGGAAATGGAGACTTTACAGTATCCTTCCCCTGGAGTGGGGAGGAAATGGAGACTCTACAGTATCCTTTCCCCTGGAGTGGGGTGGAAATGGAGACTTTACAGTATCCTTCCCCTGGAATGGGGAGGAAATGGAGACTTTACACTATCCTTCCCCTGGAGTGGGGTGGAAATGGAAATTTTACACTGTCCTTCCCCTGGAGTGGGGAGGAAATGGAGATTTTGCAGTATCCTTCCCCTGCCATGCCCACCAAGCCATGCCACGCCATGCCATGCCACTCCACGCCACCAAGCCACGCCCACAGAACCGGTAGTAAAAAAATTTGAATCACACCACTGATATTCACCATTATCCAGCTCTTTCAGGGATCTCTCTCTCTCTCTCTCTCTCTCTCTCTCTCTCTCTCTCCTCTCTCTCTCTCTCCACACACACACACACACACACACACACACACACTACAAGATGATTGAACAAATTTATTGTCACAATTTTTATGGACTGTGGCTACTTCACCAATGTAGGGATCTGATACATTTATTCCTATTAAAATGCCGTAAGACACCATAACTCTTATTTCAACAGAGGCTCACAAACTTGTTTACTGGTGAATGTATGGCCATGTCCATGTTGATTTTTTGGCAATGTGTGGAAGGGGTTGTGATCATCTTCTTCCAAGATGTTTTTCATCTTTTTCTGAGTCTAGTGGACTGCCCTTCTGGAAATCATAGTTGTTTACAAGGAAGGCTAGGAATATCCAGAAGATAAGTTTTCTCATCTCATCAAATTGCAATTCCCAACATTTTTATAGAAAAGTGTGAAACATTAAAAACACTGATTAGGGTTGATGCCTATCGATGCCACTGCTGATTTACCTCACATCCTCTCCCTCAGGTGATGTATTTCAGCTCTCTCTTTCCATATGTGGTGCTGATCTGCTTCCTGATACGAGGTTTGCTTTTGAGAGGGGCAGTTGATGGGATTCTACATATGCTCACTCCTAAGGTAAAGACTTTTTAAAATACCTTGACATTATTGTTAGTTCATAGCAATTGTTCAGACAGGTGCCAGCAGTTTTTTGGAAAGATTTCAGAAGTGGTTTGCTTTCACCTCCTTCCTAGAACTGAGAGTCACCTAGTTGGCTTTGTGCCTATTAAGGTGGATCTCCAGGTTTCTCCACTCTACATTCACCCTGAGAGATATGGTAGATTAGGCTGAGGGAGAAGAGTCTTCAGAGGGTCACTAAATGTACAGATAGTCCTCGACTTACAACAGTTCGTTCAGTGACCATTCAAAGTCATTGGAAAAAGTGACGTGACCATTTTTTATACTTACAACCATTGCAGCATCCCCATAGTCATGTGATCAAAATTTGGATGCAGGGCAATTCATTCATATTTATGACAGTTGCAGTGTCCAAGATCACTTGATCACCTTTTGTGATCTTCTGAAAACGTCAACAGGGAAACCAGATTCAGTTAACAACCCTGTTATTAACTTAATGACTGCAGTGATTCAACTGCAATCATTAACAACTGTGGCAAAAAAGGTCATAAAATGGGGCAAAATTCACTTAATAACTGTCTCATTTATCAACACAAATTTTGGGCTCAATTGTGGTTGTAAGTCAAGGACTACCTGTAGTTAAAACTTAAGGGAGATTTTCTGTCTCTACTCTTAGTTGTGCCTTAAGGCACTTTCCCCCCCCACCAAATTTTGGTACATGTCAAATATGTAGGAATAATAATCCAATTGTTGGATATTATCCCAGAATGTTAGTATCTTCCTTATGAAAATTTCTGCATCATTGGGTGAGGTTTTTTTTATATTGCTTGGGGATGTTTTCAAAAATGCTTTGGAATGCCTGGATTGTCAGGCAGATGCCATCTGCAACTCCCAAAGCAGATATCATCCTTATCTGGAACTATGTGCCAGCTGTGGAGGGCAGCTGCATGATCTTGGCAAAGACGCAATTTTGAGAAAGGACAAACTAGGTGCTAAATTTGCACCCCTGAGTGGAATTTTGAAATTGAGCACCTTTGGTGAATTGAATCTGAAGTCAGCCTTCCTACATTATCTTTAATTTACTCACTACAGTACTCTTTGTGTAACCCTTATTTTTAGTTTAGTTGTGATGCTGCTCCATTGACAAATTTATTTTACAATTTGTAATTTGATGGCTACTTATAGTTATAGTGTTCCAATGAGTAACAGTAGAATACTAATCAAACAGCAAAATTTTAATTCATCAAGTAAAGATCATATTAAAACGATGTATGTTTTATGACTGTAAACTGCCCAGAAAATATAATTTATTGGGCAACATTAATATATAAACACTCCAAACAAATAATTGCCTCATTTAAATAGATCTTAAAAGTGCCCCACCTTCTTTGGATTTGCCCATTATCATCCATAATTCGATTGGCAGAGGAGAATGTTATTGGACACTTGCCAGCATATATACAAAAAGTATACCTACAATGTTTGTTTCTCCTTGTTTATAAGTTGTGATACTGTAGGTGTTTCCCTGCTCACCAATAAAGATACAGGGATGACTTGACCTTTCTGTCTCTCTTTTTTGCAGCTTGATAAAATGTTGGATCTCCAAGTATGGCGAGAAGCTGCCACTCAGGTCTTCTTTGCTCTTGGTCTAGGTTTTGGTGGAGTTATTGCCTTTTCCAGTTACAACAAGCAGGATAATAACTGCCACTTTGACGCAGCCCTTGTCTCCTTTATCAATTTCTTCACTTCCATCTTGGCCACATTGGTTGTTTTTGCTGTACTGGGCTTCAAAGCCAATGTTATGAATGAAAAGTGTGTTGTTGAGTAAGTACCCCCTTCTTTCTCTGTCCAGGTGATTTTGGCAGGGAACTCCAGCACACACAGTTATCATTTCTGAGGTGCAGCTTTATTCTGATCTGCAATTTCAGTAATCTATCATTCTCGTCCAAGTGGATTGCTATCTCAAGTTTACAGGACATAGAGATCTTTTCATTATTTAGTTTCTGAAGAAATTGCTAGGAGTAATAAAACTAATTCTTCTACATCAGTCTAAAAATGATGGTTTATTTTGCTGAGAGTAGGTAGATTCATTGTATGTTGAAACCCGGAGAATGTCTCTGTAAGTACATCTATTTTTCTATCATAGGAATGCTGAGAAGATCCTGGGTTATCTGAACACAGATATGCTCAGCCATGCCCTGATACCACCCCAAGTGAACTTCTCCCATCTCACAGCCAAGGATTACACTGAAATGTATGCTGTGATAAAGACAGTGAAGAAGGATCAATTTGAGAAGCTGGGATTGGATCCCTGCCTGTTGGAAGATGAGCTTAACAAGGTATGTTTAAAGATTGGCATTTTGGGCCATTTTAATTCCTTTGAAAAGAAAGAGATGAACTACAGGAGATGAACATTATAGTTCTTCCGAGGCAATATCTCTTCCGGAATGAAGACATGATCAAATATTGCCCAGATGTCAAATCCCTTATATAAATTGACTGTAGATATTGGTTTGGTTTGTAAATAATGATAAGTTCTTAATGTGGTTTGTTTTTGACATGGTCATCACTTTGTTCTACTAGAGACTGAGGGCTAGGTTAGATGCACCTCCACCCAGTCCCTCCACAGGTAATCAACCAATGCAGTCTTAGTACTATATCCAAGTCTGACCCTAACTGAAAGAATTCTAGATTAATCTGCTTTCTCTAGAGCACTCTGAAGCTGTAATCTTATCACCTGTCCATTGTGCCCACAGCCCACAAGTTTGACACCCCTGATATAGGGTATAGCAGAGCAGGGATCCTTTTGCTAGTTTATCATAGAGACATGATACATAGATCCAGAATGGCTCAGATACCTTTTGTTTTTGTTGTTAATGTAATTTATTGTAACAGAATTACAACAGCAAATGCCACCACCCACAAATATGTCACTGGTTTTTAATGTTCTGAGGTTTCTGAAATCTATTGCCAGTTAGCATCCATTTCAAGGGTACTGAGTGGAAACATCTATGATAAGAAAATGCCATTGGATGTCAAACCTGATGTGAAAGGAAGTTCATGAATTTTCTCACTGTGTAGTAGTTTTTCCCAATGTGTTGGCCATAACTTATTGAAGTCGTGGGTTTCCTTTCTCCACAGCTATTGAAAGAAAGAGGTTCAGGACTTACGGACCATGGGTGAATAAATGTGCTTGGATCATTTGAAGTTACTGATGTTGGGAAAACTTGAGGAATAAATACTCATCCCATCATATCTATGATATACATGCAATATAAAGCCAGAGTTTATTTTCTCTCTTGCAGAGCATGTATATATAGAAAGCAGCAGATGCTTGTGCAATCCTCAGTACATGCTTGCTTTTGCCTCTACTTATCCACATAGGAAATTTCCCTCATTGGACCTGAGGGTAATATGTGATTGGCTGTTTGGCTCTGAAAGCTTGTAGTTTTACAGACAGAAATCTATTGACAAGAATACACACACATACACACATCTGCTTTTATAACACTCTTTCTGTTGTCAAGAATAACCTAAGCATCTTCTTTTGGCTGTGTACAGTCAGTGCAGGGAACTGGCCTCGCATTCATAGCTTTCACAGAAGCAATGACCCACTTCCCAGCTTCTCCTTTCTGGTCAGTGATGTTCTTCCTGATGCTGATAAACCTGGGTTTGGGGAGCATGATTGGGACCATGGCTGGCATCACCACACCCATCATTGACATGTTCAAAGTGCGCAAAGAAGCATTAACAGGTAAGGCCCTTCTCAGGGAAATACAAAGAGTCTCATGGAGAAAACTGCAGTGTGAGTAATAGAGCAGTTGTAAAACCTGTGGCTTCAAGAGATATATTAGAGCTGATCACTCTGGGCCCATTAAACTGCAGGTATCCTTTCTCTTCCTCCAACATCCTAATTCAGATGTTTAATCAATGTTGCCATCAACACTGTTACTTTAAAAAGAATAGCTTTTTCCTTTCAGCATCTGGGAAGTTAATCTTATGATCATGAGTTAATGTTATTAGGAAACAAATGGACTAAATATTGGTTTACAGAACAGTTTGTGGTGAGTAGGTCTGAGCTGTGTTTGGAAAGTGATTTTCTGACTGCCTCATATTTTATGTATTGTTACTAGAAGTAAATCTTCCTGGTTTCAGTGAAATGTACTGTGATAAAATAATATATGTAATTGCAGCCCAAATGTAGCATATAAATGGGAGAATTGTCTATGGGCTAAACCTGATCTTGAGTTCACCCAATCTGCACATTCTTAACTGGAAGCATCTCTAATCTGTAAGTGTTGTGATATGTGCCATCTGCTGATTTGCTCAGGTAAAATTAAAGAGCTTTCTCTGCAATACATCACATCGTTAAGTCAAGTTTCTCCCAGACTTATTTATAGCAAAATTTGTTTTACCTTTTTCTAAAGATAAGTTATACTGTTTGTCCCATGATAGTTTGCAAGCTTTTGCATGTTTACATAGAAGCAATTCCTATGGAAGTAATCCCCATTTTCTGCAATGGCTACTTACTCTCAGGGAAACATGCACACTGAAATCATGTTTTTAAACACAGGAAGACTAAATGCTATGCTCTGTTCTGCCTTTAGTTAGCTTCCCTATAGGGATGAAGAGGGACTGCTTAGCATAAGAGGATAGTTCTTACTGTACATATAAGAAGTTCAGCTGGATCCTGCATTTGGTCTGTTACATTCATTTGCCTGTTTTGCCACTGAATGCACGTGCCAATTCTGTCATGCCTAAACATACAATAGAAGTGCATTCATTTATTCCGCAGTATGGACAATATTCATGATTTGTGAACTTCTATTTAGGACTTATTATTTTGTGCGCTATTTTTTTAGGCAGTATAATTATAGCCATAGGACAAACATAACAAAATATGTTAACCGGACCAACAGCCCTTGCATCTAAGAGAAAATTATGTGTGTTAACAATTGTCATCTGCTCCTTACAGTTGGCTGTTGCATTTTCGCTTTCTTCGTGGGGCTGATCTTTGTGCAACGCTCAGGCAACTATTTCGTCACCATGTTTGATGATTACTCTGCAACGCTGCCACTCACTCTTGTGGTAATCCTGGAGAACATTACTGTGGCTTGGATTTATGGAACCAAAAAGTAAGAGTTCTTTTAAAAGGAATCAGTGGAACTGATGTTCTTATATTTCTTCCTTCTTTTGCTTCTAAAACCAATTTTTATATAATGAGCTTAATCCTCAGATTTCTTGATTCTTCTTTAGTTTTCTAATGCTAGCAAAGTTTCTTGATTTCTGAGTTTCTCCATCCAGTATGAAATAAAAAAACAGAAATCTGGGATTTGTGCTTCACCTGTTCGCTTTCTTCCTTCTCCCTTTTTAGATTCATGCAGGAATTAACAGAAATGCTGGGTTTCCGGCCTTCCGCCTATTATTTTTATACATGGAAGTACATTTCACCAATCTGTATGGCTGGCCTGATGACAGCCAGTATAATTCAGCTAGCAGTCAATCCACCAGGTTATAGTGCCTGGATAAGAGAAGAGGTGAGTCTGCATAAATTATACGTCAACATTTTCAAATCCATAAACTGTGCATCAGCATGAAACCGATCCATTTTATTTGCATAGGCTGCTGCATATCAGTTGACCATAAACAGTGTGACAATATGTAATAAAGCCACTGAATCCTCAGTGCAGATGAAATTATGTAAATACTAGATCAGGGCCCATGTACATTAAGCCAAAAGAACTCTTGTTCTGACAACAGTATGCTGATTGTATATTAGAGGTCCAAAGCACTGTGATATTTTCCTCCCCCTTCATGTAATCCTTCAAGATGGCACCATTTTTACATATCACAGTTTCATACGCTTTAAAATAAAGTAGTCCAAAATTATGTTTTGGCAGGGCACTACAAAGACTCTGACTGAAAAATGATTTAAGCATTTATTCTTTTGGCAGGAATTTCCTAGATTATGAACATGGTCCTAGATTATGAAAGCCACTTTTTCCATATCACTTTTCAAACAAAAGAGACTTGGTTGAGTTGGGTGGCTATAGTAATAAAATAAATCCTCACTAGTCAACAATAGGGAAGGATTGTACATATATTAGTGAGAGAATAAAGGTAAGGTAAAGGAATCCCTGCGGCTTTTACTCTGCCAGTGATAGCTGACTTTAGACTACTAGAATTGTATTTTTATATACTTGGAGGTGTAAGCTGCCCAAAGTGAATAGTAAATAGGAAGCAGACAGAAGTTTGACACAGAAAAGGAAGAATTTACCTATATAAAATGAAGAGAAAGGAATATTGTTTACTGGTAGCAGTTTCATTCTTGTAAACATCTCCTTTCAAAGAGTGTTCCTTCTCTAAAAGGTGATGGATGAAGAATGGTTTTATGCTTGCCTTAGTTCCAAAGAACTACTAAGCTAATTAACTTAATGTATGCATAATACCTATAATATATACCAAATTACTTTTTCCTTTTCCTTCCAGGCGGCGGAGAAATTTCTCTATTACCCCAAATGGGCAATGGGCATACTTGTGTCTCTGATCATCTTGGCCACCCTTCCTCTGCCGGTGGTCTTTGTCCTCCGCCAATTCCATCTGCTGTCAGATGGTTCTAATGCTCTGTCGGTCACATACAAAAAGGGGCGTATGATGAAGGACATATCCAACTTAGAAGACAATGATGAGACCCGTTTCATCTTGAGCAAAGTTCCTAGTGAAACTCCTTCTCCAATGCCTGCACATCGCTCTTACCTGGGCCCTGGGAGCACCTCCCCAATGGAAATGAGCAATGTTGCCAATGGACGCTACAGCAGTGGGTACCTCATGGATACCACTCCTGAATCTGAACTGTGACCATCAACCAGTAGCCTTCCCCTACTTCCTGGGTGAAAGAGAAGATAGTCCTGAAGGAGGACATCTGTTCTTTAAAAAAAAGCTTCCCATCATGCATAGCAACCAGAGGTAGATGATATCAAGTGTAAAAGGTCGAGAAGGAAAGTTGCTTTTCTTCTGGTGCTCTCCAAATGAAATACCAGAATTTTCCTCAGTGAATAATAGTAGTGGTAGGACATTGCAATAAATCTTATGGGCAAAAGGGAAATTTTAGCTAATTGGTATTGAAAAACACAGATAACCTGTTTCAAGAAATCTAAGATTGAGGGAGAGAGATGGAATAAGGAAACAGCCAAAACAACAACAACAAAACAAACAAACAAACAAACAAAACAAGAAGCGGCTGGTTCCCTGACTCTCTCTCTCTTTCTCCATCCCTTACTTTTAGTTAGGAGAAGAGGTTTTTGTCCCATTTGCTGAATAATTACCACTATTCATAGCACAAGATTTAAAAAGCCCTATGTGTATTCTACCAGGACCATATCCAAGTTGCACAGTCTTAGTGAAGAGTTCTTACAACTCTTCACTAAGATACATTTTATGTACACAGCACATTAGAATGCTTGCTGTTGCATTATGTGAGATTGGTGATGTTATTGCTGAAGATGATAAAAAGAACCTGAAAGATTTTTGTTTAAGTGAAGCTGGCCGTGGTATGCATGCTGCTGAGATATACAGTGTTCCTGTATCACAAATTCAGATTTGTGCCATGTGTGTCAGTCAGAACCAAAACATAGCTCTATCAGTGTAGTTTTCTAGAATTCATGATGTATTCATGATATTATTTACAGAACTCTAATTAAATGCGGACATTAAATATTTTATGAAATATAGGACATAGTAAGAACTATTCTAGTAGCAGCTCTTTTCTACAATAGAGATGGAGAGAATCAGTAGCTCTCCAGGCTGTTAGATTTCATTGGCATCAGCTAGGAGGGCTAATGATAAGGAATGCAGGGAACTGCAGTGCAACAACATCTGAAGGGCTTCAAGTTCTCTACTCCTGTTACGTGGGCACACACTAAATACATGGAAGGATCTTCCTATATTATAATTTGGGAAGGAATGACAAGCACATTAAAAACATTGATAGCACATTTCCTTCAACATAGCACATGTGAATTATGTCCCCCAGCAGGATTAGTGTGGTGGGATTATCAAACTTTCTAAACAATGTTTTATATTATATACCTAAGATAATTTAAATGTTTTCTTCAAACTGTTACCTCTGTTTCTTTAACTGCAGTGAGGAAGATAACTGCACATATATCAATCACAGTATCGGATATTGATAGAATTGATAAAATTACTAAAGTCTAGTGGCAGAGTTCTTGCCTCCCACTTAGTCACATTCAGTTAGTCATTCAAACAAGCAGTGCCAATTTTTAAAACCAATTTTAAAACATTCTCTTCCTCCAAAATTGTACAATTTATATGTGAGAGTTTAACTGTTATAAGTCTTTACAAAGTTGTTCGGGTAAACCATATAATTAATGAACATTTTAAACAACCTCCCCCTTCCCTTTTCATTTTGTCCTCCTCTAGTTTTGCTATTTAAATATTCCCCTGATTGCAATTTGTGGACTGAAGTACCACGAAGTCTGATTTTTTTAAAAGTAGAAAATAATACATATAGGGAGGAATATGTTGCAGCTGTAAATCATTTGCAGAAGATGCTTTAAGAGTTCATGTGCAGAGAGTTGAGTGGCTAGATCTTCAGGAGATGTCTGCAATGGTATAAAAGATTTATAGAGGCCACTTTAAATGTGATTACTGGGATTACCTCTCTATGGCCAGCTGTTTTGTTAGTTTCTGAGACTAATGTTATGCACAATTCTCTAGGAGTAAACAAAAAGAACAAAAAAGAAAAATCTTACGCTTTGAACATTATTGAGAGCCTGAATCTGCTGGAATATTAATCACCAATAATACCTTTAAAGTTGTGTCTGGGGCATTATGAGAAATTAAAAAGATGATTGGTCAGTGGATAATACTTATGACATTTTCAGAGTATTGATGCCTGTCACCATCAGTTAAGGCTGATTTTTATCCTACTTTGAATATACAACATATCTTAACTTTACCAAGTCTTTTCTAAGTGGTGGAATAAAAAAATAAGGTTTGAATTTGTGTTTGGCATAAATCAGCAATTAAACAGAAGCCAAGATCTGGTGTCCTAACTCCACCTCATTCTATTCATTGGGCTTCCGGAGCACAATGTGGCCCAACACTGAACAGTATATCACAATGCATTAAATTAATGTCAGGAACCCCAATTATCCAGGATGTATTCATTATGCAATAGTGAAAAACAACTAGTTTATTCCCATAGAGGTAATGAAGTGTCAGTGGGGAAATGTCAAGATGTCAAGAAAATGATGAAGAATGTCCTACTTTCCAGAGACTTAGCATTTTTACAGTAAAAGCCTTTCTAGAATGTTTCCTGATGATTTGATTTGCCTGTACTGCTGCATTTAAGGAGATCACAACATTTTTATTCATTTCAGCAGTCAATGGATTCTCTTTTTGTTCTTGGGTTTCAGATTTGACTTCAGAGTAGTTAGGTAACCTGGAGAATTATGCATAATTATACTTCAATTTCTTCTTTTCTACATGCTATATTATTTAAGTAAGCCTGTGATATATTACAATCTGAATAGACAATGGAGGTAGCTAAGTTGATATTTCAGTCCATTTCTGGCCTTTTTTAATTCAGTCATAAAGTATCACATTACTGTACTAGTTATTTTATCTGAGTCCTACAAAAACAGCAATTTTGCAAAAAGAAAAAGAAAAGAAGACATTTTCTGTGATAGTTCTACATGTTTCCTAGTCAGAAATAAATCTTTAGGATATGAGTCAATATAATTCCACTGGAATCAATTAAATTAAATGACAGCTATTGGAAATCTGATCCAGCTGCTACAGATGACAGGATTATAGAATTAAGGTAGAGTTTATAAATAAGAGAGTGTGTCTTTGAGATAAGGTGAGCATCAATGCTCAGTATCAGTCATTCTGGCTAGGGCTGATGGGAATCGGAGTTCACAAATATCTGAAGATCCTTTTTTTTTTTAAATATAGGAAACCCTGTACCTCCGCACCAGCAGTAATGTGCTATAAAGTCTCTCTTCATGCAGGTCATGCATTGGTCCCAAGCAAACAGCTTACTCTGTCAATGGGTCTTTTCTAATCAATCTGTTCATTTAAATCCTATATATAGAAGAGAACAGGCATGTTAGTGCATCATCTATATGACAATCCTTGAAATATCTGAAGTTGTTGTAATCTCTTGATCATTTGTTTAGGTAAGACACTGGCTCAAAGAAGCAAATGGGTACCAGTGTATGGCACTGTTTTTCCATTTCCACTACAAAATTGGCCAATGTACTCCAATTTTCCTTCATTCTTTTCTCCAGTCATTTATGCAGATATATTACAACAGGCTAAGAATATGAATCAAATAGTATGCAGAAGCACTTGCAATCATTTTTAAGACTATAGGAATACTTTTCACTCCACCCACGGGAGTTAAATGCTCATCCAGATATTACCATGTTAACATTTCCCTATATAGTTCTATATTCTAAAACACAAAAATTTGAAAGAAGACAACTTGATTCAAATCAGTTAATGATCAGGAGGATAAGAATTATGACAGTTTCTGTTTTCAACTATCATATACCCTGAATTGGTAATTATGACAATTGTACAATGAATGTTAAAAAGGCAGGGCTTTTTTTGTTACTTCAGCCCTAACTAATTTATACAGATGACTATCTGCTATAGAGTTTTGCATACTTTGAAAAAGATTTGAAAGAAGTGCCCAGAGAGTAGAAGAAGCTTCTATGCTATTTCTTAAAACAGCCCTAACTTTTAAAGGCTCCTATATAAGTTTAAAGAGCAGCATCTTTCTCCAGGTTCACACAGAGAGCTGAAAGAGCTGGACTGCTTTAACAATAATAGTACTATACTTGTCTGATTTAAAGCACTTGCATCCAATCTTTTTCAAAGCATGCACAGTTCTATAGACACTAGAAATAAGTCTTATATAGATCAGTGAAGTTTTTTTTCCGGCTACAAAAAAAATCACAGTTGACTTCAGGGTGATTAAGATAGAGAAATTGTCACTGCTGGAATCAATTAATTAGAAGCAATGCTGCAGTTAAAGAGGGTTCATAGTGGACCTTCTCCTAGAAACATCTTTTGTGATGACTACTGTTTTAGAAATTAAGGATATCAGTTGGTTAAGATGTGAAAGACAATCAAGGGTGGGCTTGTAGTTTTCATTAAGCCTTCTTACTTTTTCTTCATTATACTACAGACACTGACAGTTCTAGGACAAAGGTTCTTTTCAGAATAGTGTTATAATTATTGGTTTCAGCAGATTTTTGTTTCCTGTTTTTTCTTCTGACTTCTCTCTATATCTTTGACAAGATTATAAGCAGAGATCATGTGAGCTTGTGTTATGAGCAATTAAATGGACATTTCCTTTTTTATAAAGAGATTGTAAACATTACATTTTAAGATGAAGGCGATACCACTTGATTTTTTTATGAGTCATGAATGAATCAAGTAGGGATAAAAAAAAAATCCCTGCTTGAAGGTTCCATTTTTAAAAAAATTATCTTTTGATAGTTTTTCCCCCCTGTGGACTCCATTAAGGGAAAAAAATATATCGTCCAGCCCGTTGTCTAGAGATAATGCAAAATGTGAAAAGCAATCATTGAAAAAGCTAATTGTTGAATACAGAGTTTCCCTTTCCTGTCCATATTGTTCTATCCTGAAGACTTCTTCTTTTGCATGGAAGGAAGTTGTCAGAGATTCCCAGAATTCTTGATTTGCTCTGTGCACCTTGGGACATGTTTGAAGTGCCATTGGGCTGACCAGAGCTAATTTCATGTAATGCCCCTCTGTTGGCTTCTCAAGGAGAAGCCAGTCTAGGGAAAGTGTTTCCACAATGGATCCATGGCATTTCCTTCCTTCCTTTTTTGTGGTGTATGATCAGTGGCAGTGGGAAGATGAAGAAACATATATTGGTGGTTTGTACATAAAAAATATATATAAAGAGAGAAGACAATAATCTATAGATTCTATTTCTATTGTATATTTATTCTGTAAATGTTGGTGTAAATTCTGTTAAATGAGAAACATATTCCAAAGTGATCAGTGAACTATTTTCATTCTCAGTGCTGTACAGATATATTTTATTGTACATTTGATATATTTATAATTTTTTAGTGTCTGATTAGTGACCACATCCTGCTGAGCTGCCCATGGGGTGGGAGGGAGGGGGTGGAGCACAAAAGGGCACTCCTGTCATTATTTCTGTGAAAATATGTAACAGTATTTCATTGTGGCATTTTGCTAAGCAGCAACTGGGGTGTGATGGGAATAAGTGTTAGATGCCTTGACCAATTGATCCATCGAGTCTCTCTGTGTTAAGACTCATATCTGCTGTTGTGCTTATCTTTGTTCTACTAGAGTTAGTTTTCTTCCTATAATATAATCTGTTTCAAGGCCATTTTGTTGCTTTTGTATGGATATTCTATGTCTGTGGACTTGGACCAAGGTAAATGTCTGGCTTATTCTGACAGGAATATTACTGAAGCGCTGCGTTAATTTGTGACCTGTGTTCAGCTATATTGCCAATAGAATGAGCCCAAAATATGGTCATGTACTGTATGCTGCTAAACTAAAACATAGAAAAGGATAATGGCGGGAGGGGATATAATCTGCTGTCCGTGTAGAATAATGTAGGGCCTGTTGCTTAACAGATGTAGGATCATATATGCCCAATCTTTGTAAAACAAATAGCCAATAGAAGTTAATATTAATAATTGCTATATTTCTGCTCACTTGATGGAATGAGCCTTTCCAGCTTGGTGCCTTCTGGATTTATCAGAGTTAAATTGCTGTAATCTCAACCAACATTACACTAACCAACCTCAAAGCTGGAAATTATGGAAAGTGAGATTTAACTCAAATAGAAGGCTCCAGGTAGGAAAGGCAGACTATTTTCTTCCATTTATCACTGGGCTACCCCTTAGCTAAACCTTATCTAGCCACTTGGGATAGGCAAAAAAAAAAAATATATAGCACAAACTACAGCTTTTGTAAATACAAGTATCTAGAAGAGAAATGCAACCTGTAACCTGAAATGGAACATGTCTGATAATATTCATGTTTCTTTCTAAAGAATGAGCCCAGCAATCTAAGGAAATGCTTTTAATGCTAATACTCCTACTGATTTTATGTGCTTCCAGAAGAAGTAGGAGACCATGAGAAGACTGAAATGGCAGGCAACTTCATATAGGTTCTCCATAAGATTCCAGGAATGAAGCAATGTCTTTGCAATTTAAAAGTCTTGTCTGAAATAATATGCTATACAGTACATTTCCTATATCTTGGTCCAAAATCAAATCTTATTAAATTTCTTGGCGCCAACCATATAACTATTGTCTTGGAAACAAGTTGTGGCCTCTAAATTTTGGGGGCTTCCACTTTGATCAGCCTTTCCAGCATTGGAATGATGTAGTTCTCTTATGAAAAATACCTGATGGGCAACATGCGGATATTGTAAACCATCCAGAAAGTGCTGTAAAACACTATGGGGCGGTATATAAATCTAAGTACTATTGCTTTCTGGAAGCATGAGTCGCCTGAACCATATTCATGCTTACTGTCAAAATGGATTTTATAACTATTCCTGGCTCAACTATGACATCATAAACTGGGCCCAACTTTCTGCCATCATGAGTTGATCCTTCTAATCAATGAGTCAGTGTTCCCAAGATATACCTCGTTCTAGGTTCTAAGAAAGACTTATAAAGCAAACAATGAATGAAGATGTGATGAATCCTAGTATGATGTTATGTGGTTAGATTATTATGAGGTGAAATGGAATTATTATGATAGAAATACAGTAAGGAGGGGGTGGCAATATTATCTGTCTGATTCTATGCAAAGATAGGCACGCTTAGTTACTATATATGGCCATGGGATGGCAGCATAGAAACTTTTTCTTGCCATCTATAAGTCGTCTAAATTTTGTTGCTCACATATGGTAATCCTAAATGTGCGTCAGATTATTCTGTAAAACAAAAACATAGTGGGATTATTTTATAGTAAAGTCAGCAACATTGAACACTAATGGCAGCCTCTTGAAATCAGCTCAGCCTTCCTTCTGATAGTACCGTTTAGATGAGATGTGACTGCAGCTACTAGAATTTGTAAGCCATCACACCAAAAACTGAGTTACTTTAAGATGGTTAGTATTTTCAGACCCAAATGTTATCAGTCTGAAATTTCAACATCAGAACTGAGGCTGGTGCTTATCAGTTCTACAGTAATTCTATTCTGGATGGTTTTTTACCAGCTGATCATTTGTGCTTTGCCTCAATGTTCTAATATTCCAGTCAGCCTCATTGACTGTAATTTTGAAATTAAACACTGCTTTCAGATTACTGAAACGTTCTGCAGTTTTTACAAAACATCAAGCAAGAAAAAAAACTCAACAATGCAGCAGGAAGTTAAATAGTGAACCTAAACTCTTAATGCATAATCTTCCCACACACCTCAGGTGGCTTTAAGAAGAATATTTTTAACCTGTCAAATTTTACTAGGTATTCTTTTTATAGTATTGAATGTAAGGCTTTTTAAAATCCTACTGGGTCCTCTAGGCAGCTACAAATGGTGCCTACCATAAACCTGTAGTAATACTTATTTAACTCTCTATGGTATGATTTCTTGGCTTCCACCAAGGAATTTCCATCAACCTACTATAGTCCATAGCCCTGTGTCATAGAGTATATTAGTAATAGAGAATTAAGGGAAAAAAACCCTTTTTTTAAAAAAAAAAAAGTAAGTCTCACATATGTCATCTTCATTTACGATCAGAAAACTGCAATATTATTGAAACTGCTGTCAGAAGAAACTTTGATTGCCTGAATCTACTGATGTCATTCAAAACATCTTTGGGACAGAACAAATATACATTGATTTTGCAGTAATCCAAAAAGACGGAGAAGAATTAAATGCTATGTTAGTCTATCTCATGAAAAAAGAGTCAGGATGAAGATAGTGTAGATTTAAGCTTATCTTGCAGCACTGGATCAACTGGCTCCCAGACTTGCATCTTGAATCCATGCTGAGAAGCTGTACATGAGGATGCTGAATTTGAGGAAGGAGGCCGCTGGATTTTCTGAATTGCCTGCACAGAAAAAAAAAACCTAGAAAACATATGGAACATGAAACTGGATGGGGGTGGGGGTGAGTGGGAAGCACAATTTGTAGTGACTTATCTCATATACACCATAGTCAGTGTAACTACTATCCCAAGCACCCTGTGTCAGCAGGATAATTCTGTTGTATGGGAGAAATACTGTAACAACCCATAGCAGCCTGCAATTAAAAGAGTTTCTTCTTTACCTTGCATTGTCTTCTGGGCTCTCTTTTTTTTGGTCCCTTGTTTCAAAAGGCGTAGGGCAGGTGTCAGCATGAGGCTCTTTGGGCCCTCTGCTGTGGCTCCGTCAGGTGATCCCACCACTGGCTGGCCCCTCCCCTCACCCTCCCCTCCCAGTCACTCATCGCCTGGCCTGAGAAGGTAAGGGCAACGGCGGGTGATGGAGAAGTGGCCGGGGCAGAGACAGAGAAAGGGGGGGGAGAGAGGGGAGAGGGAGGGAGAGAGATGTCAAAAGGGTTTTCTGGTTCCTGGTGTTTTTTAACAACTGGTTCTCTGCCCTAATGACCAGCTGGGTAGGCGTAGCTAGGGAGGTCATGTGACTGGTGGAAGTGAGTGACATCGAGTTGGCCATGCCCACCCAGGTTTTGTGGCTCCCGGTGTTTTCTTTTCTGTGGGAAACAGGTGCAAATGGCTCTTTGAGTGTTTAAGGTTTAGGGCTTAGGGACAATATTCACAGGTTCTTGATAAAGAGCTATAGTGGAGAGTACCATGAATGTTTCCATGGTGTGCTACTTCTATCCAGGTTATAAATTAAGTTGGTTACCCACTCATCAAACCAATCTCAGGAAGCCCGTTTGCCTCCACATTATACTTACATGAATGTTCCTGACTCTGTTCAAAATATGTCTGAGGAAGCCTTTCCCATCCAAGTGCATTTCCAGGGTGGCAGGGAACCATGGAGGGCATTTGGATGTAGACATCTGCCTTACCAATGGACCTCTATGTTGGTAGAAAACCATTTTGCCCTCCCATATCAGAAGGAAGATACTACTCATTCAGCTTCCTTCATAAGTGGCATCTGAAAGGCTGGGAAAAGATCCCACCAGAGGTGGATGGCAGCACTCTACACAAATCTTGATGACATCTGGCCACATATGCCCCATGTGCCTACTCTTAGTCCCCTCTGGATACTGTACTACTATCTCAAACAGAAGGCATGATTTGTTCTGAGTGCCTCACATAGGTAGCAATGCTAAGTAATTGCCTAAAATTTATTTATTTATTGGTTCGATTTATATGCCGCCCTTCTCCGGAGACTCAGGGCAGTTTACAATGCGTTAAGCAATAGCCTTCATACTTTTGTATATACCTGCTTAGTAGGGCTTTTGCCCCCCCCCCAAGCGGTGTTCTTTTTTATACAAAGTCAGCTTATTGCCCCCACAAATCGGGTCCTCATTTTACCTACCTCGAAAGGATGGAAGGCTGAGTCAACCTTGAGCCTGGTGAGATTTGAACTTGCAGTAATTGCAGGCAGCTGGTGCTATTTAACAGCACTTTAGTCTGCTGCGCCACCAAGGCTCTTCCAAAATAAAGTTGTATAGGTTCAGACTGCACAGCCTGGAAAAAGTGATACTACTCTGAGACTTAAATAACCACAACATGTCTCTCTGCTCCCAGGATGTTGATCAAAACTCCAACAAAGCTTGTTGATTTTATTCCTTTCTAATCGCAGTTTTGTGACTTTAGCATAAAGAGTGCAAAAGACCATGTATTTTGTAAGAGAAGAGGAGCAAATCTCCAAGATATTCCAATGTTCTGCTGAAGAGTTTTAAGACAATTAACAACAAAGCAACAATGATTGCTCATTTGTACCCTATGACTATCATTAAGTGTTGTAATTCATGATTCTTGACGAATGTATCTTGTCCTTTTATGTACACTGAGAGCATATGAACCAAAGACAAATTCCTTGTGTGTCCAATCACACTTGGCCAATAAAGAATTCTATTCTATTCTATTAGCAACAAATATGATTAGGGGGCTGGAGGCTAAAATATATGAACAATGATTGCAGGAATTGGATATACCTGGTCTAGTGAAAAGAAAGACTCCGGGTGACATGATAACAATGTTCCAATATTTGAGGGGATGCCACAAAGACGGATCAATCTATTCTCCAAAGCACCAGAAGGCAAGACAAGAAGCAATGGATGGAAACTCCCTAATCAGGGAGAGAAGCAACCTAGAACTAAGGAGATATTTCCTGACAGTGAGAACAATTAATCAATGGAATGGCTTGTCTTCAGGAATTGTGAGTGCTCTATCACTGGAGTTTTTAAGAAGAGATGGGACAGCCATTTGTCCAGGATGGTATAGCGCCTCCCACTTGAGCAGATCTCCAAGTCCCTTTAAACTTTGTTATTCTGTTAATAAGTAACTTCAGGAACTACCAAGTATGTTGTTCAACAGCACAGTTGAAACAACTTTCTCTGGCCTTGTTGGGAAATGCAACTTGGAAAAGAGGGGGACTATTGTCATAGTAAAGACAGATGGCATGAAAAATACCTATAGTCCTTTGAACTATAAGTTACAGAACAAAATAATATAATTACCAGTCTTCTGAGTTAGTTTCACTCACTTACCAGCCTTGTTCTTCTCAGGGGTAATCCTGCCTATTTCCCTTTCGGTATTTGTCATTCCTTATTTGCCAAGTGTTAATCAACATTTTGTAACTAATTAACGTATGCAATTTTCATGGGGCTAATTCCTCCCTGAGGCATTTTTTTCACCCATACATACAGAAAAAGAAACTTTTTGTACTGATGCAAAACTAGAGACCTTACATTTGTGCATGGAATTTGCATTGATAAGAACCTAGTTGATAGGATGTTTGATAATCACTTATCTCCTCTACAACTGACATAACCTCAGAAGTTTTTAGGAATTATATCTGGGGCTGTTACTGTTGTTCTTCAGCATCTACTGCTTAAGGCATTTACCATATATTGATCTGCTGATCAGGAGGGCTGGCCCTATCTACCAACATTTTGCTTTGATTAAAATCTTTCCTGGTCAGCTTAACATGTTTGTCTGCTGTTCTGCTTTCTGAGGCCTATCTCAGAAAACAAGAGAGACAGATGTGTTGTTCTAGAATTTTTAGTCTTTCACAAGCTAAAGAGATGCACAATCTGACTTGTGTAAGAAAGAGGATGCACCTGTGAGATTCCAGGAAAAGATTAAGTTTTTTTATGGAACTGCTAATTAATAGAGGTGACTTGCATCCTCATGGACCCTCCTAAGAACCTTTTCCTGTTCAAATCAAAATTGAGGTGCAGCTCCACAAGATAACAATCTAAAGCCCAGGGAGTTCAGTTTCACACACTGCTAAAGTACCCAAAGTCCTCTCATGCTGAGACTTTTCCAAACAATCTCCTTTATGACACAAAATAAACTAATGGGAGACAGGTGGGCAGGTAAACAATTGTGACAAATCTTTACTGCTAGGACAAGCATGATATCACAGCCAATTAAAAGAGGGAGAAAAACAAAGAGGAGAGACTGTAAGAACCTACAAGGTTGTTGATGATTCTCTTGGCCTTCCATAGTGCTATGTTCCTGCCTAATTTGACACAAAAAGGCTCTGGATTGGATTCTACTCTATCCAGGTCAGTGTTTCCCAGACTTGGCAACTGTAAGATATGTAGACTTCAACTCCCAGAATATTCCAGAACGCCCCAGAACATAGATTGGAGAAATCTGGAAGCCAAAGTCCACAGATCTTAAAGTTGACAAGTTTGAGAAACATTGGTCTAGGTATTCAGTCACATCTTAGAATAATTACATAGAAATAACTAAACTGAAAAGGCAGCGGCAACAAAGCAAGCTTGTTTTTTCTTGGCTAAGTGGGGTATATTTAACATTTCAGGATTTGTTTATATTTCTGGAGATTAGTCAAGCAATAATGGTATTTTTGATGGATCTGTGCTTAATCACTGTCAACATAATCTTTTCTACCCTAATAATAATTCCACTTTATTCATCCCCTTCAGCTACAGCATATCTCAATAGAACTTTTCTCATTACATATACCTAGGATACTTCTTATTGACTTATTTAATTATAGTCTTAAATAAATCTACTTGCTTCCATTAGGCAAATAAATTCTCCAAAGTCATGTGATGTGAAGTTGGTTAAAAAAGATGAAAATTTTCTCAATTTGATCTCAGTCTTTGGAATTCATGTTCCCTTATTAATATTAATGTTAAACTTCAAAAGACATATTACAAGTAGTCCTCGACTTACAACCGTTCATACAGTGACCGTTCAAACGGCACTGAAAAAAGTGATTATGACCATTTTTCACAGTTACAACCTTTATAGCACCCCCATGACCATTTGATCAAAATTTAGATGCTTGGCAACTGGTTCATACTTATGACCATTGCTGTTCCCCAAGGTCATGCGATCCCCTTTTGCAACCTTTTGATAAGCAAAGTCAATGGGGAAGCCATGTTCGCTTAACAACTGGGTACTAACTTATCAACTGCAGTGATTCACTTAACAACTGTGTGAAGAAAGGTTGTAAAATGGGGCAAAACTCACTTAACAAATGTCTCACTTAACAACAGAAATTTTGGGCTCAATTGTGGTTGTAAGTCAAGGACCACCTGTACTTATTGCAGTATCAATCTAAAGTTCATACAGATCTATACCTAAAATTAAGCATACAGTGTTAAGGATATTCTTGGCTCATAACCGATGTTGTGGGTTATTGAGCAGAGTACCCTTTGAGTAAGTGCATGAAAAGCGACTGGGAGTGGTTGTGAACAATCACAGTCAACATACAAACAAACTGAGTTGTTGTAGTCTTTTACTTTTAGAAAAAGTAAAACAAAGTCCAAAAACAATCTAAGTCATACACAGATAAGATGAGAGTTAAAAGATCAATCCAGGGATATTTCAAGTACGAAGTCTTCTTACCAGTTGTAGTGATACACAATAAAACAGTTCTTCTTGAGTTTCAAAACAGGAACAAGTTCAATATCAAAACATTCAATAAATAGTAGAAAGCAACATGTAGCTATGATCAAACAGTGATCATGCAGAGAGATCAGGTAGAGAGTTACAGCAAATAAGCAGGTAAAATGGTGTAGTATCCACACAAGCCATGATCCTGACTTTCCTTAAATACATTGGCTACAGAGCTTAACCAATCAGGATACAGGATGATGCAATACAGTCTTAAAGCA